AATATATCAAGATTATGTGTTCGTTAAATAAGTTTTTAGTGATGTGTTGAATGTAAAATCTCTATTTACAATCCTAAACTACTAAAGTTTTTGAAATTGTTGTATATATAAATGACAGCCATAAGAAACATTAAAATTTAAATAAGCACGTCGGCGGAGACGCTAAACCTTTTGTCAATATCAAAGAACATCACAGTTAGGTTTTTTATTGTCTAGTTAATACTACTACTGTCTGATTTAGCAGTCATTTTTATCATCCAAGCAAACTCAAATCTGATAAATTGTCTACACAATTAAACATAATAAACAAGGAAAGAGTGTTCGAGATGTATAAATAAAACTTATGGGTTACAAAAAAGGATGCTCGAGATGTAGAAAACAAACACATAAAATACAAGAGATGAACTCAAGGGTGCCAAAAACTACAAGACGCACCTCTTTTGCAGTATCCACTCTCATAGAACTTACAGATTTTCAGTCCTTTGGGCGGATGAGCTGCATACGAACCTGATTCATGGTCATACCCATGGTTGCTGCTGTGTGGCCATTGCCGATTATTATGGCTGTTGTTGAAGCTACTGCTGTGACCGTTGTTGTTCCACCATTGCCGGTCTCTGCCGTGCCCACCAGTTCTCCTTTGCTGACTTCCTCTTGGACTGCGCTCCGTGTTTCCACGGGCTAACTCATGAGATGATGCTGACCTAGGGCTCGGTTCCAAACCTACTCCAGAAAAAGACTTGGGAAGCCTCTCGACCGATCCAGCTTCGACTGTGGTTTCTGATCCCAGTCTGAGAGCCGTTGTCGTTAAAGTCAGGTCATGACTTATTGAAGCTGGCGCCGGTGCTGGTGGTGCGCAGAGCAGGAGCTCTGTACCAGCGCTTCCGCAGTGGCTGAAGGGAGTGTTGTCTTTTGCTTCTGTGCCCATTGAACTTTTACCAGCAGAGGCATTGTCGAGAATACTAACCTGAGAGACATCCATTCTACATGTTTCAGGTGTGAGGGACATGCGTGCCACGGGGTTAAAGAAATCTTTTTCTGGCCCTTTTGTCAAGTCATCATCGTCATCGCAGTGAAATGTTGAGGTTGGTGACGAGGGCAAACCGTTCTGCTCCATTGCTTCAACTTCGGCTAATAGATCTGAAACTGATTCATCACACTCGTCGGGGTCAGCCACAATGGCCGGCCACCCAGATGAGTGAGCTATGTTTTCTGAAGTCTGAGTAGTTGTGGTATGATCAACTGGCAAATCAATTGGCCTCACAGAAGGAGCAGCTAAAAATACAGCATTCTGCTGAGTTACTTGAGGAAGTTGTCCTCCAGTGACCACAACACTTGAAGTGGTAGTAGCAGCATCGGTGGTTGCGGTGTTAATGGTGCTCCATGTGACACCAGATGGTCCTTTGACCACAACACAAGACAGAGACTGAATAGTCTCCGCAGCTTCAGCATCCACGTCTTCAGGGCTCGACCTAGGCGTAGGACTGGGGAAATCAGGGAAATGAACTTCTTGATTCAGGTTGGGTGCATGAACAGAACCGTTTATGGAAACAGAACCAGCAGCATTTGTTCCATCCTCCACAGTGTTAATTGTGCTATGGTTACCATCTGCCCGCACAGCATTGGATTGATCAGTTTCTGGATTTTCTCTTACGCCAGGAGTAACCACAAGTGCTGGAACCACAGATGTTGACGCCGGACAACTAACTTGAGGCTGGGGATGAACAGAATTACTATCCTCAACTTTCCCAGAGCTAGGTACAAGAGCCTCAACTTGTTTCGCTTTTGGATCGTTAGCAAGGACACCGACAGTAGAGGACGGAGAGGAGGTTACACTAGTGTTGACTGGTGTAGGGTTCTTCTGAAGACAGTTCCCATCCACACCAGTGCGTCCAGAGTCGTGCGGAGTCGATTTTAGTTGTTGCGGAAGAGAAGAGGAACTTGGTATAGTAGTTGCTTTATCAAACCGTCCGGCAAGCGCGTCAATCAGAAGCACAGACTCATCTTGATTCTCATGCGCTTTCCAGATCTTAAGATAAGGGGGAAAATGGCCACTAGATTTCCATCTACGGAGCTGCACCATAGAAAACGGTCCCTGGATCTTTCCCGTTGGATCTCGATAATGCCATATTTCACTATCCTCGTCATCTTTACCAGTTTCCTACAGTACGCAGAAATTTATGTGAAGTGAAAGAAAAATAGATAATCATGAGAGCTTACATTGCGAAGTAGGAAATATCGTCAAACCTGGATATCTGATGAGTTGCTGGGGGCCTTGGAACAATCATCTTTATCAGCATGAACAACATTTCTACTTCGCAAAATTGGTGCATCAAATTTTTTCTGCACATTATTTCCCAAGTTGTTCAAGAGATCCCCTTTTTTCTGCGGACCTTTACTTTTAGCCGTTATATGATTATCTGCGAAATAAAGAAAGTAGAAGATTATAATCAGCACCCACCCAATTAGGAATTTTCCATAAGATAACAAACAAGTAGCTGTTCACATCCTAGGTTAAGGTGGGAGACCTTGTTTCCTTGCACCCAACCCTGCATCTTCTGATGATGCCTGACTCGGATCCATGCTTGGATCTGTATGAACCTCTGGGACTTCCTGCAGAAGCCTCTGGCGTTCCTCAGTTGATTTTAGAAGCTCTAGCTTTTCTACAAATTCCCTAAGCGTGGGAGATAGTTAAGAAATGGTTGATAAATCAAGATTTAAAATTTCCGTGCAATCAATGTCAAAACCAACTTTCACATTTCAACTACAGCAAACCAAATATCTAATGGGAAGATCAGAGTACTTTTCAAGTTGTATATGACTTAAACTGAATATTTTTGCCTTACGAGTAGCATGGTCATCTCTTTAAGGAATTGTTTCATCAACGACTCATTGAAAGATTCTATAACAGGCAGCATTTGCAAACAGAAATAGTGTAAGCTAGATGCAACAAATATAGTATAAAAAACTCAAAAAGGATATTCCCTTCTATGACCCTTCTCACTGGCACGATCACGGAGATGATTGAGCTTTAATATCTCAGCTTCCAAAGCCTACATCGAGAAAACAAAAATAAGAAGCACACCAGAGGACAATAAAGAAATATGGTCCTGTGGATTTTCAATATTTATTCGACTGATATTGGCTGGTTTAACTACATAAATGATCCTACCTCACTGACTCTCACGGCTTGCAGTGTTGCTGCCGTCTTCAAGATGTCACCCTGACACCACAAAAATACATTTGTTTCCAGCTTAGGTTAAATATACAATTTCAAGACGAGAAGCTACCATGTGCCCTTTCTTACCACAGTCAAACGTTTATTGAGGCCACATTTTATGCTCTGGCGCAGCCGTTTGCACTCGTCCTAAAATCACAGTCAGAAGTACATTGAAGATTAAAAAACAGGCATAATTACTAAAGATACATTATTACTAGATGAGTTTTTAACTTTCTATTCACAAGCCAAAAAAGGTAAGAGAAATTATTATTTCAGAGAGGACTATATTCACCTCTGTGACATTCTGGTCTGATAATTGATCAATCGAGATGACTTCTCTCTTGTCCAAATTCAGTATTTCTAGCATAACATCTGTAGTCTTTGCACCAAGTTGATAGGATGCTTTTGCCTTGCAGGTACCTGTTAAACAACCACAAAATCAGCTGAAATGTATTTAATATTTTGGGGGACTAATTTCGCATTCTTCCTTAAAAAAGCATTAATATGACCATAATCAATTACCTACAACTTGAACAAGCCTGTGAATATCCAGATTCTGGTCACTGCCAGATACCTTAATTCTCAAAATTGTTCCTACCACCTTCTCGTGAACTTTGATATCATCAAGTAGAATCTCTAAGAATTTACGTCTCAAATATATCAGGTTGATATTGTGAACATCGATGGCTGCATATGCATCCAGATTTGCATTTTGTACTCTGTCATCAGTTTTCCTGCGGGTCTTCCGTCTTCTATCCCTTCCCGTTGGATCATGAACACTATCCTCCTCTATTTGGCTAGGAGCAGGAGCAGCGTGAGTGGTTTCACCATTCATGGCTGTTTTATCCATCGGTTTCTCTTGAATAAGGAAATGAGACTCGAGAAGCTTAAGCATTTCAAAGTGACCTACTCGGTCCTTTTCAAACAGCTTTAAAAGCATTAGGTCACAAATAACCTGAGACTTCTGAAGAGGATCCCTAAGATTTTTTCTCTTGATATACTCAAGTAGAAGACCCTGCACGTCGAATAGAGAAAGAACAGATGTATCACCATTTCTCATGAATGACACGAGCTCGAGGAGTTCTTTTGTTGCCCAGGTTGTATCTCGAGGACGCTTCTTTATGATATTACTTGAGTTTTTGGCATCCAGCTTCTTGGGTAAGGTGGGAGAATCACTGGTCTTCCTTTTTCTTGTTCCATTTACTGCTACAACTAAAGTTGAATTGTCTGAAGAATGAGCTACGTTATCGGCATGATCAGTTCGTGACTCTACTCTAGGAGCGGTGCTAGAAGCCTCCTTCCAAGGATTATTCGCTCCAGTAAGCTCGGCGACAGTTAGAGACAGATCTTCTTTCAGGCAAACCCAATATATCTTGAACAGAAACTCCCAACTATCCTTGTCATCGAAATCCACCTGAACCTATACATGCAACAGAAAAACAAGGAAACCAGTTATAAGCGGCACACATTTCCTATTGTGTCGATAGGTACGAATGTCATGTGCATGGCAACACTACGAGGGAATTTCAATCGGGGTAAAATTAATAGAAACCCTTGATTTTGTAATAAAGAACAATCAAAATAGATGTAAAGCCCAAACACAACTAAAATCAACAAACTATATTCCCCTTAAGGTAATCGTGGCAGGTTAGTAATCATTTAATTCACCCGAGTAAATTTTGCCTAAACATTGAATGGAAACCAAAGATTATGGTGGAAGGGCTTACAGCTTCGTTATCTCCCTGAGGTATATTCTCGATCAACTTTATAGGCTTAATACACGTGCCACAAAGACCCATGTTGCCTCTCACGATCACATAGTCGGCATCTTTAATGCACAGCTTACAAACAGAAAAAGTGCATGTATAACACATGTAACTACTGGCACCTTTCTGGCATGTACTGCATATATGCCAACCTGAAATGAATGAACAAAGCATTAGTTTTCGAAGGATATTCACGCATCATATATAAGAGATTTGAAATGACGGTATGTCAGGACAATCAGTCCGTAGATTGCTGAAAGCGAAGACAACATAGTGACATCATGGACAATAACACATACCACAATCCCATTTAGCCTTTGTTTGAAAGAATGACAGGTCTCTCTTAATACAATCTGGATGGTACGCCTTGGGACAGTTCCTGAATGGGCAAAAAAAAACCATCAAACGTTATCAATAACACAAATCTCGTTTCTAAAACCTCCATAAATAACCGATCTTTAACACTTCGTTTAGCAATTGAGTAGCCTAACCTATGGCATTAACCAGCGGGTAATCAAATAACTCAATTGACTAACCCTAATCTCTCTCTGTGCATACTATCAAACAGAATTATCACTTTAAAGCAGACAATCACTCACCGGCGATCACAGAGAACGAGGTCTCCGCCGTCGAAGCAAATAAAGCAGACATCTTCTCCCTTCTCCTTCTTCCGCGGCGGCTGCGGAGGCGGAGGCGGAGGCTGCAGCACTAGCCGATTTTGCGGCGGCGCTTGAGCCTGTGCCCTCGGAGGCCGGCCTCGTTTTCGTTTCACAGGGGGAGCGTCAACAACAACTCTAGCCTCTTGCTCGATGGACACACCACCCGTCGAGGCAGCACCAGAGAGAGCAGGAACTTGGGTTACACCGATCTCCTCACATTGATCAACTCTCATAAGATCGATCCCTCTCGCCGAACTCTCTCCGCGACGAGCCAAAGCAGTTAATTCCGGCCCGCCTCGTTGGACCCGCTTCCGCTGATCCTGCATGATTGGTAACGAATTGGGGAAATATATGTGCGATTTGTACAGATCAATCAGTGAAAGAGAAACCCTAATCTGAGGTTCTTTGGGGATTTTTTTTGGC